TCTTTGTTTAGTACATTTGGCATAAGGAGTTTTTAGGACAACGGACTACAAGGGCGTACGCAGGTTGGGCAGGGGGGACATTTCTCCCCTTAGAAAGAATTTCGCATTATGAATTACGCCAGCACCATATGTATTACATACGTACATACGTCTGTATGTATAGCATGTACATATGTATGTAAGTACATCAATAAGTATGTATGTACGTTCATACATTCCTATATACATATATAGGTTTGTATGTACAAGTATGCAGTGGGCTATCGAACACTGTTGTTTAATTGTAAAAAATAGTTTTCTATGGTTTCAAATCAAAATTTTTAAAACAACAACAACAACTTCAAGTTATTGGCTCGCAAATCTTCTTTCGTTTTGATCATTTACGCCTGTTCATTACATACGCAAAATGCCAAAAGTTTACAGTTACAGTACGCATACAAATAAATTTGTATGTATGTATGTATGTGTACAGTGTACAATCGAATACAGTATTATAATCAATAACTCTCAAACGATGTTTTTCGATGTATTTGTATTCGACATGTATTACGATATATCAACACAAGTATCGATATTTTCGATATATCGCATTTAATTTTATTATTGGGGTTTTAATATTTATTCACTTTTTCAAATGAATAGTTTGTGTTATAAATTTTGTCCGATCGATTTCAAATTTGGGTAATGTAATCAACATAACTATATCAACAAATTGGCATTCAACGATTAAAATATAGCAATATGTTTTTTACTTGCCATATATCAAATATCAAATAGTTGGGAACAGTTCGTGTCTATGTGTGCCCATGCATACATACATATGTACAAGCATATGTATCTATGCCTGTATATGTATGAAGCATGTAAATACAAAACAACAACAACAACTTCAAGTTGTTGGCTCGCTCATCTTCTTTCGTTTTGACCATTTAATGTTAATTGCAAAGGCAAAACGCCAAAAGTTTACAGTTACCGTCGCTAAGCAACGACTGCGTATGCGATAGTAAAGCAGAAACCGAATAACGGAGCTACGCATATTCTGCTTCGCATTGCGGGCAGATGTATGTATGTATATGATTTGTTCTTATCGATCTCAATAAATAATTAGATTTTATTATTTAAATATTCTGCTTATTGCATTCAAACTTCGATATTTTGATGGTATCGGTGGCTTCAACTATCGAAAGTTTTACTCTAGCAAATTGAGATGAGAATTGTCAGTGTTTTTTGATCGTGGCTCATCGCTGCACGGCATTGACACGAGTGCCGTGTTTCATATTCCGAGTTTGTGCGTGACCGTATTGACTCAAATGTGAATTTAAAATTAGGATATACCCTTATAATTATTCCCCTTTTTTGCACATAGTCTATCTTAAAACGTTGCGTTATCTCTATATATAAAACAGTTTGTCCTGACTAATTGGTGATCAACGCACAGCCCAAACGGTAAAAGATGAAATTTGGACTCAAGTATCCTTTCATAGTATCCATCATAGTGTAGGAGCACACTAAGAAAGGCTTTTGAAAATTCTAACTCCAAAGGGGGGAGGTTTAAAAAAATATTAGTTATAGTGGTCATGTTCGTTTAAAGAAATAGTTTGGCAAGAACAAATAAATACCTTAAATGCCTTCCTACTGGTAACTTATAAGGTGAAAACATATGGGTAGGTTATGCACACACAAAATAAATACAATTGGAAACATTATATTGAGCCGGGTTAAGACGGGCAATACCTGCTAGTTATCTATATATATAAAACAGTTTGTCCTGACTGACTGACTGACTGATTGGTGATCAACGCACAGCCCACACGGTAAAAGCTAGCATGCTGAAATTTGGGCTCAAGTATCCTATCATGGTGAAGGGATTTTGGAAAATTCGAGCTCCAAAGGGGGAAAAGTAGCTCCAAAGTTTGTTTGAAAAATCCGCATTTTTCAACTGATCGACTTAAAACTTAGTTTCTAAAATCAATTAAAGAATACAAACAAAACTGCATACTTAGATTTTCGAAATTTGTGTTGGAGCTTGAATTATTGGGGTTTTAATATTTATTCACTATTTCAAATGAAAAGTTTGTGTTATAAATTTAGTCCGATCGATTTAAAATTTGGGTAATGTAATCTACGTAACTAAATCTACAACTTTGCATTAAAGGATTTTCAAAATATGCATTTTACAAAAGCAGGCAGAACAAACAATACAAAATATCAAACAGTTGGGGACAACTAAGTATACATACACACACACACATACAAACAGCTGTTCGTGTAGTTGCGTGCAAACGATTGAAATAGCCAAAGCAAAATGTGAGACACTAATGTGTGAATGTATCTACATATGTATGTATGTACATTCGTCTTGCACTGACACAGCAAGAAATGTTAATTAATTGAAAATTATATAACATTTTTAAAAGTAATTTTTTCTTTGTTTAGTGCATTTGGCATTAGGGTTTTCATTAATAACTTTATGCAGCAACACCAAATATCAAATAGTTGGGGACATCACATACACATACTCGCACACACAACAAGCAACAGGGGGGAAATCAAAAAAATAAAACTAACTCGTATAGAATACACACATAAGGCATCTTTGTGCAAAATTTGGTGTCTCTATCTCTTATAGTATCTGAGATCCAGGTGTTCATACGGACGGACAGGGCTAGATCGACTCGTCTTGTCACGCAGATCAAGAATATATATACTTTGTGGGGTCTGCCACGCCTCCTTCTGCCTGTTACATTTTTCAGCTCCCGCAAACCTAATATAGTTCTGTACATTTCATGTACAGAGTATAAAAATCGAAAATTAAACCATACGATCGCAAAATAAAAAACAAGTAGAGAAGCTAAAAAAAATTTCGATCGATTTTACCTCTCTCGGTATTCGAACTCAAGTAAAGGGTGTATAATTACACATTTACATAGCAATTGTAAATATGTGAGTGTATACAGTGAAAACTCCCTTAACGGACACCCGTCTTAGGCGGACACTTTTTCTAGAACATTAGTTGTGGTGTACTTTTTAGAGCAAGTTCACTTATTTTGTGCGGACACTCTCTTGACCGGACGCGGACACTATTTTTCGAGAAATTCGAACTAAAGCCTCTCTTGGCTGGACGCGAACCTCGTGTTAACGGGCGCTGACCTGCATAAACACATCAAATTTGAAAGAACACCTCTCTTGGCCGGACGCGTACCTTTTGGTAATGGACGTTTCAAATGCATGCAAAATAGTTTCATATTTTTCATATTGTTTTTATTTCTTTCTACGAATACCCATGTGATCTACTACAAGATTTTTATAAAATATAATAACTTTCGCTATTTGTGCACATATTATTGTTATTATTTAATTATTTCACAGTTCGGCTCAGTTTAGCAAGATATATAATAATAATAGTAGAACTTGAACAAATATTGCAAATTAAATTAAATATGTTGTTATTTAGCTCAGGAATGGTTGCAATAGGAAAAGATTTTAATTTTATAATTTTCAAGAGTAGTGAATATCGGTTTATTTCTAATATGGCTGAAGCCAAGCTCTGCACTTCTGAATGGCGCGCATTTACTCAACAATTGGGTTTTAAGGAAAACTTACAACTAACTTACAAGGTTAAAAATATAGTTGTGGGTTTATGTATATAAACGTAGAACTATTAAATGAATTTGGATCTTCATTATACCCTGTACCCAAAGGGTACAAGGGTATATTAGTTTTGTGCGAGTGCACATGGAACACACTGAAGGAGGCTTGGTAGACCCCACAAAGTATATATATTCTTGATCAGCATGACAAGCCGAGTCGATATAGCCATGTCCGTCTGTCTGTCCGTCTGTCTGTCTGTATGAACGCAAGGATCTCCGAAAGTATAAGAACTAGAATAACCAAACTTGGTATACAGATTCTCCTGAGACCAAAAAAAGGACGAGTTTGTTCATTTTTTCTGATCCACCCCCCCACTCCCCCCCCTATTAACGATTTTCTATAACTCCCGTAATTCTTGGAATTTTGAACTAATTTGGTAGTCACATTAGGTTAGTTATTATATAACCGTATACCAAGTCTCATTATGATAGAATGATCGGAAAGAAAGTTATAGCCATATAACCAGGCCCAATGCACACATACATACATATGTACAAGTACACAAACACGCATAAGGCACGATTCTGATGTAAATGTAAATGTATGTATGCATGCATGGAATATTTTATATTTAATTTAGTTAAATTAATTTAGTTAATTAATTAAATTAAATTAATTAATTAATTAAATTACTTTTTTGTGGGGTGGTACAGGGTATTTAAGAGTTGAACCTGCTCGACTTTAGCATTCCTTTCTTGTTTTTATAATTGATTGTTATAAGTAACGTATTTTTTATGTAGAATAAAGTAAATTTTTTTAATCGCCCAAATGGAGAAACAATTAAAATATGCAAAAAATGTCTATGTATCCTCTTAGCCGGACACTCCCCTTGGCCAGACAAAAGTTGATCGACGATGAGTGTCCGGCCAAGAGAGGTTTCACTGTACTGAATCTAAAAAATAAAACAAACTCGTATAGCGTACACACACACAAGGCATCTTTGGTGTCTCTAGCTCTTATAGTCGCTGAGATCCATGTGTTACATACATTCGCAATAAACTAGTACATATGTATATCCTTTTACCCTTTGGATACAGGGTATAATTACTGTTACTTAAAGAAAATATTGTTGTTTTTTCATACTGATAAAATCTAAGAAATCCATTCGCAAATCTACCTGCAGATATTTTCTCTTAGAGAAAAAAGTTAAAATTTGATATGTAGTGTACATCATTGTATGTATGTAAATGTTTAGTATACAAAAATTATGTACATATGTACATACATACATACACACATATGTCTGTACAATATTTTAATTAACTTTTAAAGTTCTTAGCACAAATGTAGAAGAATATATTTTGATATATATTTAATATTGAGATGTTTCGATTTTAAGTTTCATTTACCTTTTTTCTTTTTACTTGGACCCTTTGTATTCACAAGTGTTGTAACTTGTAAAACCAAAGGCTCTAAGGTTTTCTCAACTGACATGGTACGTATTTCAAGGTTTTTGGGATCCCACTTTAATGCAATTTGTCCGAAATCAGATAGTGTACCCATTTTATTCGTTCTTTCACTATTTCAGTATAATATTTAAAAGCAAGCACGGAATTTACAATTGAAAATCCTCCAATACGTGTAACTAATACTTTCAAGTGGCGACGCCTTCTTACTAGCACGGTCAGTGTGACCAAATTTCGAACTCCAAAAAATGCCATTTTGCTAAGCGAATTATACTGAAATTAATATTGCCATAATACTTTTTTTTAACAAATTAAATCTAGTATGTAATATTAAACTTAATAGTAAATTAAGGAGTGCTAGATACTCGGGCCTTCGACTCGATGTTAATTTATTTATTTATTTTTATTTACAGGGTTAAATTCTAATTTTATAAAGTTGTTTATTTTTTGTATGTTGTCAAGTGATGGGGATTCTACGAGGGAAGATGGAGGCTGGGGGTCCGAAAAGGCGAACCCTTATGCTCTCCAATTGACGGCATGCGTCTAGTAGATGCTGATAACTACATTTTTGCCCGCAGCAGGGACAGGGGGGAGGGGGGCGGCTGCTTATTCCAGTGAGTATTAAATTCAAAGACGAATAAATACACTGCAGGAGCGTTTTGTGAAGTGTGCAGGTAATAATATTTTGGTACAAGTGGGTTTTATTGTGGAGTATCTGTGTGAAAACAAAGCCCATTTTTCAATTAGATTTTCTTTTATAAGTTGAGTGATGAAGTTTTTAATATCTTTGAAATTGAATGGGAGGAACAGGAATGTAGGAATGCAGCTTTGTCAGCGTTCCCATTGTCATTGGTGACTTGGAACCCATCGAAAGTTGTAGAAGCAGCTGTTTTCGAACCATTTATGTTCAACCAGCGTTTGGAATCTAGGTTATGTTTTTCGCATAGAAAGCGGGTATTCGGACCTGGAGGTAGTACTTTTGGTTTCAGTACTGAGCTTAGGGTTGATGTTTGGCTGCGAGTTGATCCAGAAAGGTAATTTGGTAACTGGGCAGAGGTAAGCCCAATTTTGTACAATAACCAGAACACCGCCGGAGGGTGGAGAGAACCTTGAACGTTCTTTTTTGTTTGAAAGTTGCCAAACGGTTGTTTGCCAACAGTCGAACAGTTGTTGTGAATAGCCTCGAGATGAGATCCATTGTTTTCTTTTAATACACTGTCTGTATGTATTTTTATGCACATTGGTGTATTTTGAACATAAAATGTAACGAGTAAAAAAGCTAAAGTCGGGTGTCCCGACTTTGAAATACTCTGTACATAGGCTTAGAATAATTATAGAAATTAAAAAAAGTAAGGGAATTAAAACAAAAATTTTGATCGATTTTCCTCTTTTGGTATTCGTACTCACGTAAAAGGTGTATAATTGCACATATACAAAGCAATTGCGTCTATGTGAGTGTATGTATGTTTATGCTCGTATATTCGTGCTTGTGTTAGCATGTTCGCAGTCAACCAAAGCACCAGCATCAACTACAGCCGCGGGCAGCGCTTGGGCAGCGCTTGAGCAGCAAATATATTTATGGCTATAACTTCTTGTTAAATCGGTCTATCATGATGAAACGGACACATAATTACTAACTGGGGGTATTTGCAAAATTGTAGTTCGAAATTCTAAGAATTGCGGGAGTTAGAGTAAATCGCGATTTGTGGGGGAGAGGGGGGAGGGAGGGAAATTCCAAAATGGTGTCCGTAGGTCTTATAGTCTCCGAGATATAGGCGATTATACGAATGGAAAATCGGGAAAACCCCCATAGGGGGAAGTGGGGGGAAAATCGAAAAAATAAAACAAATTTTCACAGCGTACACACATAACGCATCTTTGTGCAAACTTTGGTGTCTCTACCTCTTATAGTCTCTGAGATCCAGGTGTTCATACGGACAGACAGACAGACAGGGCTAGATCGACTCGTCACGTCATGCTGATCAAGAATATATTTTTTATGGCTAGTGTTGCACCTGAAAAGGCTCCCCACAATTCTAAGTCCTGTAAAATGTTTAAAAATTTCTGTCTGACCAATTTTACGTTTTTAATTTTCGTGTATATAATAGCGTCATCTGCATAAATTGATACCTTTGTATCTATTAAATATGTTCATTTGTTTGAATGCTTTCATAAAAAGAAAGGGGGAAAGCCTTGCGTGATGCCGTTAAGTAGTTTGTGAGTGGCTGAGGAGACATTATTGAGGTGCGATTGGTCATAAAGGCCTTAATAAGATTATAAAGCTTAGGACCAATACTCCAGAGCTCAAGCCGACTGAGCACTGCGTGTAGCCCCACGCGATCGAATGCCTTCTCGAAATCAGTCGCCAAAATGGAGACATGATTTGTGGTCGAAATGGCATTTGACACGAAATGCTGGATCCGCAGTAAGGCGTCCATCGTGCTGTGTTCCCGTTTAAATGCTACTTTGTTGTGTAGGTTTTTTCGATTGTTTTACTGATACATGAGAGTAATATCGTGTGTAGGTTTGTTTGGGTTGACTATAAGGACAACGATTGCTGAGCTCCAGGTGTATGGATATGTTCTAGCATGAGGTTGTATATTACTAGAAGCCTGTCTTTTAGGTTCGGCGGGATGTGTTTGAGCATTGGATACGATATCCAATCTGCAGCTGGGCTTTTGCCTTTTGCATTTTTTAGATTTGCATCAAATTCACTGAGTTTGAATTTTGAGTTAGGGTGGTATGAAGTTGAGTTATAAAGGTGTTTTTGTTGTATATAAACATCTGGAAAGTTAACATCTGCTGAGTATTTTGGCCATGTTTGGCCAAAGTCTTCAGCAATCTGGCGGCGGCAGGAAATAAGGCCGCAAGAGGATTTTATGAATTTGATAGGAGCCGGCGTCCCGGATAAGCGCTTAATGTCATTCCAGACTTTTTGTGGGGAGGAAAGTGGGGAGATTCTATATGTGAAGTTTTCAAGACAGGTACGTATAGCTGAAAGAACCGCGTTTTTAAACATAGCATTTATTTTTTTCTATTGGATCAGAATAGACATATGTATTTTGTATAAGTGGAAGGTTTGCTTCTTGTCCCTGAGCTTCTGGAGACTGTTGTTCCACCAGGGAACTTTGGCTTTATGAGGTATGTGCTTTGTTTGTGGGATGCTACAGTTGGCTGCAGCTCTAATGCATTTAGTGAGTTTGGCTACTAGATGGTTTAGGCAATCAGAAGCCCCGATGTACGGATTATTATTGCATTTTTGCTTAAAGAGTTCCCAGTTTGCTAGGTCAGCCTTTTACTTTGGTAGTGGGAAGTGATCACTTCCGTGTAGGTTTTTAGGTATTAACACTCGCATATATGGGCGAGTAAGGGCGATATGAGGGAGTTGTCAACATGGGTAAAAGTGTTGTGTGTAGAAAGGTGAGTGGGAGAACCATCGTTTAGGACGATTAGGTTTTTGACGAAGATAGCCCTTTTGCTAGGGATGTTCCGTTTAATGAGGATACCGACACCTTGCTTCGATGATGTGTTTTGGGGGTGGTTATGAAATTAGGTAGTATATGCCTTGGGGCAAATGAAATTTTGGAAATTATGATGTAAGTGATTTTCTTGCAAACATAAAATATCCGGAGAGTGATCTTGTATAAGAAGTGAAGCTCATTATAATTATTCATAATTAATCATTAATTAATTATCCCATTGATGTTCCATTGTAGGATTTTAAAATACATGAATAGGCTGGAGAGCCAACCGGCTTTGGAGAGAGATTTAGGTCTTCATTAGCCGATGTTTTGATATTTGTTGTTGAGAGAGCCGTGGAAGGCGGTGAAGCATTTTTTGCAGCGATAGCAGCGAACAATGTTGGCAAATTTACTGTATTATTTTATTGTTGTTGTTTTAATAGTAGTCTGGCTTCTCTCATACTACATTTATTTGTGGTTTCGATTCTTAGTAATTCTCTTTGCTGCTGATATTTAGGGCACGATGAAGAGGAGGCGGGATTACAGTTTGAGCAACTAGTGCGTGAGCAGGGTTCGGAGCCGAGGGGGGAAGATAGCAGGTAACGCACATGGCGGTGTTTTTGCAGTATTTTGCGGTGTGGCCTAGTACCTGCCAATTTTTGCACCTCAAAAAGTTTAGGAAGTATTCTCGGACGGTAGTATTCGTAGCGGTGCGCCAGGCTACGTCCAATCATGGGGAGGATACCCTCCCCATCTCTATATATATAAAACAGTTTGTCCTGACTGACTGATTGGTGATCAACGCACAGCCCAAACGGTAAAGGCTAGGAAGCTGAAATTTGGACTCAAGTATCCTTTCATAGTCTAGGTCCCCACTAAGAAGGGATTTTGGAAAACTGGAGCTCCAAAGGGGGGAAAAGAGGCTCCAACGTTTGTATGAAAAATCTACAGTTTTCATCTGATTAACTTTAAACTTAGTTTGTATACTCCAATTCCAAGAAAAACTGTATACTTGGTTTTTTGATATTTTTTTTGGGGCCTAAAATATGGGAGTTTTCCTGTAAACAAAATGTTGGGGCACAAAAGCAAACCGCGTCAACAGCCCACAGCCTACACGGTAAAAGCTAGGATGCTGAAATTTGGGCTCAAGTATCCCATCATGGTGTAGATGAGCACTAAGAAGGGATTTTGGAAAATTCGAGCTCCAAAGGGGGGAAAACGAGATCCAAAGTTTGTTTGAAAAATCCGCATTTTTTAGCCGATCGACATAAAATTTGGTTTCTGAAATCAATAAAAAAATACAAACAAAACTGCATACTTAGATTTTCGAAATTTGTGTTGGAGCTTGAATTATTGGGGTTTTAATATTTATTCACTATTTCAAATGAAAAGTTTGTGTTATAAATTTAGTCCGATCGATTTAAAATTTGGATAATGTAATCTACGTAACTAAATCTACAACTTTGCATTCAAGGATTTTCAAAATATGCATTTTACAAAAGCAGGCAGAACAAACAATACAAAATATCAAACAGTTGGGGACAACTAAGTATACATACACACACACACACATGCAAACAGCTGTTCGTGTAGTTGCGTGCAAACGATTGAAATAGCCAAAGCAACATGTGAGACACTAATGTGTGAATGTCCATACATACATACATATGTGCACATCTATGTATGTACATATGTATCTACATGTGTATGTTTGT